AGGCGTGGGTGGATGAAGTGGGGGGGGGGCGGGGCGGGCAGCATCGAAAGCCGCTTACTCTCCCCGCAACAAAACGCCCCGCTGGCTGCCAAAGCGCAGGTTAAGGGCGCCCCTCGCTCCGCCCACGCCGTCAGGGCCGCTAGACTGCGCCCGGCGCTCGTGAATTCGCGCCGCGCCGCGCCGCCGCCGCCGCCACTTTCTCCGCACAAAAGCCGCAACTGGCCGCCCGGGCGTGGAGGAGCCGGGGAGGGCGGGGCGGGCCGGCGGGGTGCAGGGTGTGCGTGAGAGGGCGATGCGGAGCGCTGGAAACCACGAGTGCGGTTGGAGACAGCAGGGCCTTGAACAATTTGCTTGCCATCCTTTGGGAGCAACGTGGACAGTTGACAGGCATAGTTCGTTCGCAGCCAGCTATCCGTCTTTCTGCAGCACCTATGACCATAGGTTCTCGGGATTCGAGCCCGGACACGGGCAGGTTTTCGACACTGTCTAGATAGAAGTTGGGATTGTTGGCGCTGACTGGAGAATTCTAGCGGGTGGCTGCTCCGATCGCTTAGTTTCCTGTTTGGTTTCTATCAACTCAATTCCAGGCAATTGCTGGAGCGGGTACATTACAAATAAACCGCCCCACCTGTTTTTGGCGACCGCGTTCTTTTCCTTGTCTCTCCTTGTGTCTTTCGTCTCCGCACAGTGGTTGTTTTTATGCCAATACCAACTATTCCAACTCCAGTTCGGGGGGAAAAATTTTCTCCCTTTTTTTTTTCTCTTTTTATATGATTTGGGTGTTTTTTGTTTTTTGTGTTGCCCTTTGCCCCCGCCGCGCCGCCAATGCGGAGGTTTACCGCCGCCCCGTAAAGAAGAGGTCTGAGCACCGGCGGAGGCGCCGGCGAACGAGGAGACGCGCGAAGAGGGGAGCGGCGAGGCGCTGCCAATTACGCCAATCGCTGCGGCAGACCGCGCGCGGAGGCTGCGAGACTACCTCCGCACAATGGGCCTCAACACCGCCCTGTGCGCACGAGCCCTTCCGGGTCGATGAGAGCAATCACTGACGGTTGCAAGTAGCCTACGTTTATGAAGGCCCTGCCATATGTATTACTTTTAAATTTGGTCAAAAGTGTTTGAATCATTTCTCTTATAATTCCCCACCGTCAACTGAAGTTCCGCAATATTTATTGATTATATCTTATAATCTAATTAGTGTGGAAATGCAATGATGTCCTGATATATTCCTAAAAACGTTTCCTCCGAAATTGAAAAGCAGAAAAGGATCAGGATGTTTTCTTCAAATATAATTTCGAACTTCATTTTGAACGAAATGGAAAAGTGAATGCCTGATGTAACGTAAATTATCTTATTGCGTTTAAAAAACGGAATTTTATTAGTCATAAATCTATGTTGAATTTCTATAAGCAATACTGCACTTTTTACGTTTTACAAAAACGTATTACGAACCAACTGCAGAATTAACTATTAAAACCAACTTACAACATGATGAAGATGGAGAGCGAAACGAAAGTCTGTATTTTTATTAATATATCCTACATTGATTCATTCTAAAATTAAATTCCTCTCTATTTCAAAAGTATAATGTGCTCTCCTACGCACCGGGAAAAAACATAACTAGACTGAAATTGGCATCAGGTGCCCTAAGTGAAGAATGACCCGCGCATTTAGAGGTTGGTGGGCCCGTTCAGCAGCTCAGTGGCGCCCATCTCGGCCGCCGCCACCGCCACCGGGGAATAACTCGGCGAAGACGAACGGTCTCGGCCGCCCCTTCCTCCGCGGACCGCGCCGCGTCGTAAAATCCGCACCGCAGCCGTAAAGAGCTGCTCGCAATCGGAAGGAGGAGCCGCGCGCATCTTAAAAGGTTGCGCGGGGCGAGGCGGGGCGGGGCGGAGCGGAGCGGGGGTGCCGCACGGAGCTTCGCCGGCTAAGAGCTCTGCTTGCGGGCGCCCGCTTGCAGTGGTGCAGGAGTAGGACTGGGCGGCGACGGGGTGAGGTTGCGACGGGCTGGAGAGAAGTCGGAGGTGATTGTGGAGGCAGAGGTGACGGAGGATGAGGCGGCGACAGAGGCGGCAGCGGAAGAACCGGGGTGGTGGGTGCGAAGCAAAATCGGAGTGGACTGGGACGTGACGTTGGCGTGGGCGGTGGCGAGGTGGCGTTTTTGAGGAGCGGGGCAGGGACACGTGAACATGATGGCGGCGGTGACGTGAAGTAGTGGCAAGGAAGTTGGTGATGGCGGGCGGATGACGGGATGGCAACGGACATGGCGGGATGCCCCTTCGGCGCAACAGAGCAGGAAGGAGCGCAAAACTGCTGCTCAATCAGCAAGTTTCAGCAAAAAACTGCTGCGCAGTACGCAACGCGACCAACTTGGTACAATATTGTCACGCCGTAAAGAAGAAGTTGGATTACGAGGAACAATCTTGACGCTCAGAATAATAACTTGGCTCACAATAAAAATTCCTTGAGGAACTGTAATTCTTGGAGAAATCGAGTAAATTGTTTCTAAGATGCTACTCTCGGAGTACAAAATCAAAGTTCAGTTTTAAAGAGACATAAATTACTTCCTATTTTCTGAAGAAATTATGTGAAAAAAAAGAACGATCATAAATCGTGGGTAAGAGAACGTAATAACTGTTCAGCAGGCCGTTAGTGACCATTAGTTTTGGCGATTTTTCTGCCAAAAAATTGCTCTTGTATAAAAATGTATCTGTAAATTTGAGTTTTTGTACGTAATTCTCCGTTATTTCTAATTAGCGCCATTCATTTTGTGTGTTACACTTGGGAGAAAATCGTCGGAGAATTTTATTACCGTAAGTTTGCTTTTTGTAATTGAAATCCCGATGTTTTAAAATATTCCTTAAATCCTATTTTTGAATATTTTTCTTCTCTCTTTCACATGAAGTTATCGACGTTCTGCTATTTTTTTCATTTTCGTTACCGTATAATTTGCTGTGGCATTCGAGTGCACTCTACATTTACTCTTTCGTTACCACCTTGTCCTCTGGTGCATTCGAGAGCTCTCTACGCGGAAGCCACGGGCGGCGCGCAGCCGGCGGGTTGAGTCGCCTGCGCCGGTGCGACCGGCGGCCGGCCTGGCCCGGCGGGCGTCGAAGAGCGGCCGCGGGCCACAAACGCGACCATCTTCACCGGCGACAACGCGGCCATTGTGACGAGCGGCGCCGCCGGAGCGGCCGCGGGCGAGCTCTCGGGAGGTCGCCGCGTCATTAGGCCACGGGCTGCGCGACCACGCCGGGGACCGCCGACGCCGACGCCGGCTTTCCCACAGCCCTCGCCCCCGCTGCCTCCCTCCATCTTCCCCTTCGCCTGCTGCTGCTCCTCCGCACACTCGCGCGCTGTTTGCCGGCCTCTCGAGCGCGCCGCACCTCGCCTCGCCTCGCCTCGCCTCGTGCAGCGCCGCTCCGTCAATGGACGCGCTGCCCGCCCGCCCGCCGAGCCGCGTGCGTTTGTGCGCGCCTCTCAGTGGTGGGAACGCACCGTGCGCAAAGCGCCCGCCGCCACCCGCTACCGACGCCCCCACGCGCAGGTGTTTTGAGGTTAGTTGTCGTGAGGATTAGTAGCCGACTACTCTTAGTCTCAGACGCTTTGACCAGTTTTGTATGTATTTTCATTGTATTAATTTGAGTTTTTTTTAAAAAAAAGCAGGTCAAAGGTATTGATCTATTGCCCACCAACAGATGTAGACGCGTCGAATGCTACCTCGCTGGCACCAAACGGTTGATGGAACGAATCTATGTGCTCTCTATTGTTTCCAAACTTTGTCTTACGATTTCATCCATCCTTGCCAGCTATGTCAGTCCACCTGTCCCTATCTGCGATCATTGCTTTACAAAATAAAAAATTAATAATATTGTCAATGGATTCTAAAAACGTGATTCCCACTAGAAAGTACGGGCGCGTCTAATGATGTCTCACACTTGGACCGGATGGGGCACGAGTGATGTCGGACGGACGCACGCGAGTTACCCGATTTCTCCATATGTTGGATTACTGCATCGACATATATTAATAATGCCCCATGTCTTCACTTTTATTTACGAGAGTAACACCTTTTCATAGCGTGGCGATCTACTTCAGGTCAACCGTTTGGAAGTGGGAATTTGACGAAAATGTGACTCCCAGGCTAAAGTTCTGGAGATAATGGTTAAAACGTCTAAAGTTGCTCATTATGAAAATAAAAATAGTTGAGACCACACAATTAATAGAAATGCGCCTATCTAGAAGCCCACGAAGACTTCCACTAAAGTTTTCTTTAGTTTTCCATTTGCGTCAAAACGAAAATACCAAGCTTGAAGACTACGAACTTAACAAACATTTCTGAACAAGTCTTTCGCTAATTCGCTATTAGAAAAGCAAATCTGAACGAACAACACTATAATTACTGATTGTAGGCTCAATTTAGTATGTTACAAAATTTTTAATTGCCTTAGGCAACTAAGTGAACGGATTTTCTGAATAATAATAAATCAAAAATTAATATTAAGTCTTTTTTATCTAATATTTCTTAATTTTCGAATTTCGTGAAAGTCTTTAATTTTGTTCATAACTCCATCGGGTTTATCTGAGTTTTCGATTTTTTCTAGTTTCCTGGTTTTATTGACCAAATTGTTACATTAAATAATATTGCATATATTTTATTCCGCTAGACATACCAATTTATTTTTTTAGTCATCATTTCTCATCAAACAATATTTAAATGGACTATAAACGACTTAGTTTATTTCTTCTTGAGATAACGATACATGTGCAAAAGGTTGATTTAAATGTGCCAATGGTAAATGTGTATTTGTGAGAGTAATTAGTGGCTTCTATTTTTGTGTCAGTTGTCTGGACGGCGCGAGTGTACTTGTTTTATGGAGTGAGAAAGTAGAAAGAGCCGAGAGTGGCTAAGCGAACACTGAGCGGAAGGCGATCGTGCCAGAGCGAGTAGGTTCCCGAGCGCCCGGCAGAGGGCGAGGAGGGGTCGGGGCGGCGCTCACCTCTTGTAGAAGGGCTTGAAGGCGGTTCCCTCGTTGGGCGAGGGCCCCGTGCTGCCGGAGCCCATCATGGCTGCGGCGGCGGCCGCGGCGGCGGCGGCGGCCGCGGACGGCGGAGGAGGGCGCTGTTGCTTGGCCGTTAGGGCCCCGCCCCCCGCGTCCGCGCTCCCGCCCGCCGCGCTCCTTGTGGGCGCGACAGCTGCCGGCGGCGGCGGAGGGGCGGCTTGGCGGCTGCTGCTTGCTGTTCGTTGCTCGTTTGCTGGCTGCTGGCGGCTTGCTGCAGCCGGCCGAAGTTGCCGCAGGAAAGAGTGCGGGTGTGCCGTAGGGTTTGGGTTGCGCGGTGCGTTGGCGCGCCGCCCCGCCCCCGCCGCCGTCGCCGCCCCGCCGCCCCCGCCGCCGCCGCCCGCCGCCGAAGCAGGAGGCGGGCCCCGGCGCCCCAGCAGGTTGCGGCGACGGAGGTGCAGCTTCATGTTGGGCGGCGTCTGCGGCGGTGCGTGTCCGGGTCTGCACCTCCGGGCAAAGCCCGAGCAACGGCGGGCGGCGCTCTGCACGCGCCCCCGGGCCCCGCGCCCGCGCGCCGCCCGCGCCCGCGCCCGCCGCCGTACGGCGCTGCCAGCAGCCCCGAGTAGCGCGAGTAGGGCGCGGCGGCGGCCGACGGGCTGGGCAGCGCGAAGCCGCCCACGCCCACGCCCACGTTGAGCCCCACGGCGCAGCCGCCGCCCGCGCCCATCGCCGACGGCGGCATCAGCCACGGCTGCAACACAACGCGCAAGTCACGCCCTGCCCGCTCCGCACCTCGCGCTAGCACTTCAGCTCATCACGTGGTTTTACAAAGATAAGAGAATAGAACCACACAAAGTAGAAAGTACCGTAAGTACCGTACTTTCTCAAATAAGTCCTACATTTTCCCAAAAAAGTCGGGAACAAACAATTGAGCGGGATTAATATGCGAGAATCTCAAAATGAAGCGAAATATTTTTTCATAATCTGTCTTATATATTTTAAACAATATTTAAAATGAACAATTAAAATTACACCTGCAATTTTTGTAGGATCTGCTGACTAAGAAAATTACAGAAAATTGGCAGATTATGAATTATTCCAACCTATAACGTAAGAAATATCTACGGAACGTTTTCGAAATGCTCTTAAAAAACCAACACGATATTTGATACCAGGAGAGACCTGTATTTGAGAATATACGGTATTTCATCATAAGAATATTACACAACAAACTGTTCTCTGTACAGCTATAGGGAAATTCGGTCTATGAAAGTCACCATAGTCGATCGATGAAATACATGGCTTATTAATCTTTGAAATAGTAATGTTATACTTCTGTCAATAATATATTACTTCTGTCTTTCACATATTTCTATTTTAATGCCAAACTGCTTTTCTGCCAACAAAATTTTACTGTCAAAATCTTAATCTTGACAAAAAGTATAGTCATTATCTATAACTTGCTTGAGACCCGCGTATGAGCTTGAACATGAGACGGAAGGCAAGGACGTGGAATTTGAGGCCTTTGAGGGAGAACACACGAGTCTGCGGTGGGGGCAGGCGGAGGAAGAGTTGAGCCTCACCTGCTGCTGGGCGGAGTGCGGCGGCGGCGGCGGGGGCGGCGTCTTGCAGGCGGCCGTGTCGGCCAGCGACCAGATCTTGGGCTTGGTGGCCGGCAGGGGCACGCCCTGGCAGTCCTTGGAGCCGCCCAGCTCGTCCTTGAGCAGGGCGTGCGGGGCGAGGAGGTCGGCGGCGGGGCCTCCGGGCCCGCCCGCGCCGCCCGGCCCGCCGCCCACGCCCACGCCCACGCCCACGCCCGGCTTGCGCTCCGTCGGCTCCTCCTCCAGCTCCTCCTCGTCCTCCAGGCATTCCTCCGCCTTCACGTGGTGCGCCACGTGGCCGTGGCCGCCGTGGTGGTGCAGCTGGTCTGCAACAGGACACGCCCCCTTCCTCACAACCTCGCTCGTCCAAAGAGTTAGTACAGAGACAGACAGCATTACTACTGCCTCTGCAGCTAGTCGGACCGAGAGGTCCCAGAGCTTGAATTCCAAAGATGGCAGATTTTGATACTAGCTAGATCTAATTCAACCGTCGTATGGAGAATTGTAGCGGCCGGCTGCTCGTATCGGTAGTTTTCCGTTTTTTTATCAATATCAGACGAATGCCGGAACAGACCCTTAATAAACGGGCCGCGGACCATTAACCATATTTTCTCCCTCTTAATCCCTCTCTCTCCCCATACTCACATTACATCTACATGCACTATTATCAGACAGTCGGGAGACCAGTCGGAAACGTAGACCTTGTCCCGAATGAGGCGGTGCCCTGCTTGGGGGAGATAACTGGAGGGAAAATCCATCGCAGAACGACGTGTAGGTTGGGATCAACATCGTTCAGCAAAGGAGGAACTCTACCTACGAGATAATATAGTGACTACACCAACGGGACTAATGGCCATAGCAGACGACATGCCCGGAAACATGCAATGGGGCTTGCCTTATTTTCACGTTACCCATAAAACAGTAGCTTATCTTTCATTTGAAAACAGTGAATACTACGAAATCTCGGTATTTCGAGAGGGGAAAGAAAGTTAGAGATGTGCAACATTAAACTTTAAAAAGAGCGATATACAGAAGACGTGCTTAAGAGACAGGTGGAATAATAAATTCGTCATATCCAGTAATTTAATATATTGTGGATGAAGACATATTTTCACACGGAGAGATAATGTAGTCATGAGTCACTGACAACTGTCAATAAACGAAACTTTATTGTATTACAAGCTATTTAAGCCCTCTTTAGAATACGCTACAATTAGTACGATTTATAAGATACCACCAGTATTAAAAATACAAATGTTCTACTAGTGAAGAGGTGCGGTAGCCCGGGGGTGGATCAAATTGATTTAAGACTAAAAGATAAGAATTTCGTCTATTTCGTCTATACAAGGAGAATAGCAAACACACATACCTCAACCCACTATGCTGTATCACACAATACCATTGCGATAACGCGGAAATTATGCACCACATACTTATAAACACCGCTTTTCGTTTCCCTTAATCGAAACAATATATCGCTCGTAGGATGCAATAGTGGCACAACTCAAAAACTCGGGCGTTGAGATAAAGGACTTTGAAGTTTTCACCTTGTATTGAAATGCACCGTTTTTGCGTTCACACTTCTTCCGTTGGTTGGTGAAATGTTGTGCTGTAAACTATGCTGCTGTTTCTGTTCATAGGTAGACCACTCTGCAATTCTAGAGAGTTCATTAACTCAAAATTCGTATTTTTTGAGTTGAGCCACTATTGCAGGCCACGAGCGCAAAGTTTCCTTGTGCCGTAACCTTGTGAAGCGTAATTTTCTAGATGGTGTCCCACTCTGTAGCATGGATTCCAGAAGCTTTGCGTTCGATTCCAGTTTGAAGCTATGTTGACTTTTAAAACAATAATTGAAAAGGAAGCTAATGATCGCATAGTTCCAACTACCAGATTTTATTTTACCTATTACTATAAATCTGAGAACATTGCAGATATTTGTAAATTCACTCAATCTGAGGTGCCTGCTTCTAAATTGTTCTCAATTCGACCACGTATAGGCCTGTTTCGGTTCCTTATTTATATCTATTTTTTAAAACAATCGAATTATTTTGGGTAATAATAATTATTTACTTATAATCAAATAATTTGTTTTCATACCAACAAATCTGGAACTATTTAGATGTTCAAATCTATTAGACTAACAATACAATAGAACAGTCAGTTATGTAAATATTGAAGAATTAATTATTTGTCAGTATTACGCTCTTTTATCAGCTATAAAAATGTATTTATTAATGATGTCAATATCTTTTTAATATGTTTAACGAAGAAAATAAATATGACCATAATACCGGCATCTGGCAATATCGTAAACGGTTACTTTCAACAATACGAGGCAAAAAGGTTGATTGGAAAAAAATATTGGGAAAGAAGACTCTCTCATTTCATATTACATTCTTCGCCGTTACGTCTACTCATTGCAGAAAATCTCATATTTAATACTTCGTGGTTATCTTGACTACGAACGGCCAATGAGACATCTCTTCATTGATACTCTGGAAGTATTCCAACCATCACCAGTCCATCTGGTATCTCGTGTTCAGATTCATCAGTTAACTGCTACATCATGAATCATGTTGATAAATTAACCAACATGACCTACAGAACCTACACAATTCACTCAGATTGCGTTCTATAAGGATGACATTTAAGATAAGTAAACATGCAAAACTGATTGTTTTTTCATCTAAAAGAAATTAATTATAGGAGAGCTGTTTTAAAGTTTTTTGTTTCAATTTTTCTTGAAGGTTTTGAGGTAATTACATTTCTTAATCGTTTTATTTCCAAATCACGTAATGAAATGAGATTACAAAAATTAAAATTGACATGTTTTTCAGAAATACACATGTTTTTTCTAATATCAGTGGTCACGTAACATCTATTACGATTGATGATCATTATCTTCAGCTACACATGTAAATCGCTTTATCACGTTCTTGAAACTTGTTCACAACTTTGCAATCTGCGGCAATTTTAAGGGGAAGATAAGTGTTTCTGCTTTGCACCACATTGTAGTACAACTTGCAGAAACGACTGAAGAGTAGCTTCACCTGCAATCTGAAGATGCCAGGGATCAAGCTTGTTAAAAAGAATATTCTCTTTATCGCTGTTACAAGACGGTTTAAGTTTCGCGCTCTACATTTTAAAGGTTAAAATGTGACTAACATAATTACGAATGATGAGAGTGCTTAAAATTAATTTTGTGAATTAATAAATCCACATTTCGTATCACCGAAAAATTGGTTAGAAATCGATTTTTTTTAATTAGTACTTGAAGAGAAATCAAACTCAACTTATCCTCTCTTACAATTAATGATATAACGTAACTATCTTCAATGTATCAATGTGGCGGATATCTCCCAGCTAAGTATCGAAATATGCAATATCTGAAAATACATTATTATAACAAAAATAATTATTCAATTTATATCTAGATTGCTGTCAATTAGAAAACATATACTGAATCTAAATAAGCGAGCTACTTCTGTATTAATTTAATACATCTGTACTGCGAA